TACAGGTCAAACACAGCCGACGCGACTAGACGCTCGAATACACTAGAGACTTGGTCTCCAGCAAATAGATATATTTTGATCTTATTCTTATGCTATAATATCAGCGGTATTTTATGTATTGTATTTGTAGACCCTTTCGATTGAGCCGATATAAGCACACATTTTCTGATATGCTCTTGCAAAATTTTTAATAATTTATAGACCAGAAACTTAAAAGTTAAGTTATAAAAATTATTTTATATAAAAAAAAATTTATTCCATTCAGAGTTTAGTTCAAAAGATATATAGAATTTAATTTTTTTTAATTTATGTATTTATATATATATATATATATATATATATATATATATATATTATCATCTATACGCAGATCTATAATATATGTAAACATACTCGGGTGAGTCAAAATAATTACACATTTTATGACATTGTCTTCCAGAATTTATTAAAGTTTTATTAAATAATAATTTACAGCCCGGAAATATTTTTACGTCATGAACATTAATTTAATTTCTTTTAATTTTTATAAAGAAAATTGATTTTATTTAATTAATTATTTATTTATTTTTTCAATTCAGAGTTTCCGTGGAGAGTATATAAAATAATTTAAAGCATTTCTGCCGAGATATATCTAATAGAGTATTGTTTAATAAGTCAAATTATCAAACTTTATTGGCATTAATATATGAAGAAAATATTGCATTTTTTAAGGAACCACAATTTTGTTAAACTACTACTACTTATGTTGTACTATAAAGATCACAGTGTATCTTTTAGTCAAACTTCTCTACTAAAGCTTTGACAGTAATTACCTATACAAATGCACTAAGGCCCAATATTTATCGTTGGATAACTGTCCAATTGTGTGCTGTTAGTCGATATTAATTTAAGTGAACCTCAGGGAGTCCTAATAGGTTCTAATTTCTAACAGTTTGAGCTTAATCAACTGCTGTACGCGGCCTTACAAATAAACGACTGGAATTTTATATCAGTAATATAAAAACCAAAATTACTCAGTGGCTATAATCGTAACAGCAATCGTAACAGTCAGTGAGTGGGCTTATCTACACTGAACAAAATTAAACAGTTAATAATAAAATAATTTATAAGGATAATAATTCATAATAAGTCATTATTTCAATAATTATATTTCTAATAAAGAAATATTATTGTTGGCATATTTAGAGGTTCAGCTTTTTTCTTCAAGTGTAAATTATTTATAAAGTTACATTGCGATATATAATGTATAAAATGGTTACGCTTAGTTCTCAAGTGAATGTTCTGCGAAGCAATTGACATTTTATGTAGACATACAGTACCGAGCAAAAATGAGTGAATGTTTCACAACTTTGACTTTCATCACGCATAAAAATTAAACCATACAAGCAAATTAAGATTTTGTTTTTTATACTTGTTTATTAGTTTGTTCTTAACAAATAGAAAAAGTTGCAACGCTAAATCAGCTAAACTCAATTAATGAAAAATAAAAAACCAAAAAAATCCACATAAACTCAATTTTGCACGTTTCATAATTGCCAATACTTTGGCTCTTCTACTTCTCTTCTCAGCCGAAATCATCCAGATTTCCCCATAACTTAGCTCCTTGGGTATTCTTCTTAGTCGTAGATTGAGCATGTAGATTTACCGTTATCTTAGTCCTTTTAATATTCTTATTTGTAAAGCGATTTGAAGCACATTTTCTTTTCGCAACAAATTTAAAATAATTGGTGAAATATAATTTTAAAATGTGGAAAATTTCAGTCGACATTGAAAATAGTGGTGTGTGCCTGACCGGGAAGAGATTTCCTTCGCTTATTATTGCCGAAAAGCTTTGAATCAGCCGAAATTTGACTCCGAAAACTCAAGTCAAAGGTTGCAAAAAACTGTTCTCGGGCTCTGATGCTCGCCTAATGATGTCGAAAATTAAGAAAAACAAGCTGCTAGCACCAAAGGGTGTTTCTCTAGCAATTAATAAAAATGTTAGCAAATGGACTGCTAGAAGAGAAATTCGTGGCCTCGGATATGTATCATTCGTTAAAAAACAAACCTGCATTGTCCGAAAAGAATATGAAGGCGCGTTTGAAATTTGCAAGGGATCACAAAAACTGGAGCATTTATTATTGGAAACGAGTTGTTTGGTCAGATGAATTAAAATTTAACCGTTTCCAATCATATGGAAAGCAATATTGCTGGTGCAGACCTGGGGAACGCATTCAACGACATCATGTAAAGGAAATCGTCAAACATGGCTGCGGCAGCATTATGGTTTGGGGATGCTTCTCTTGGTAGAACGTTGATCCTCTACATAGAGGAAGGATAATATGAATATTCTTCAAGCCCATCTTCCCAAATTCACTGATAAATGTGCGTGTCCCCACAGAGAAAGGGTTTTCAACAAGATGGCGATCCAAAACATACTGTAAAGATTATTTAGGAATGGATAGGAAAGCAGAATTTTAAGCTAATTTTCGCTCCATACATATAGAGTCTATATATAAATCCTATCCCGACTTCAATCCTATTGAAAATCTGTGTTCAATAGTGAAAAGACGGCTGGGACAGTATGATGCAGCCCCAACGAACATTGACAGCTTATGGGAGCGCGTAGAAGGGGAGTGGAGCCAATTTCCGAAAGAAATTATTCAAAGTTTGGCTGAGAGCATGCCAAAAATAGTCAACAAAATTATTGCTAATAAAGGTTTTGGACTAAATATTAAAAATGTTTAGTTTTTCTTTAGTTTTTAGTAGTTTTTTTTTAAACGTGCAAAATTGAGTTTATGTGGATTTTTTCGGTTTTTTATTTCTAATTTTTTGAATTTTGCTAATTTAGCCTTGCAACTTTTTTGTATTTGTTAAGAATACACTAATAAACAAACACACAAAAAAATTTGTTGATTTGCTGGTATGGTTTAATTTTTATGCGTGATGAAAGTCAAAGTTCTGTAACATTCACTCATTTTTGCTCGGTACTGTATGTTTAGTCCAGCAAAAGTGAAAGAAGCTTAAAGACAAGCTGTGCAGTAATTCTTCAGCTTACTTCGCGAAATACTAACGGCACAAGTATATGTACTACATGGCAATATGGATCGGCGCTAGGTGAATGTCTATATTATGATTGGAATGATCAAAATATATATATATATTTATTTAGGAAAATAACTATATGCCTGTCCTGATTGAAAGTCGCTGTCCCGACTACATGCCAGCGATTCCTAATCGATGTCGAGTTAAATGCAATATGGATATGCAATATTGCCAAGCGGCAATTGTATAATTCCAAAGATATGTGGCTATGACGAGGCTCTTAAGGCAATAAAAACAGAAATAGATCACGAAGATGACTCAAGTGAATTGTTAATCGGTTTATGTGGCGTTGCCGGCTTAGCTTTGGTCGTTCTAATAATTTGTGTAATTCTATATATAAGCACATCCAAACTGGCCCTAAGTCGAATACTTTACATTTTGTTGTTTTTTTTTTCTTTAGAATAACTTCGATCAGGCGATCCAAATAAAATTCCCATAAAGAATAATTTTTTCTTGATGAAAATGACGAGCTGACCCGTCTCTACACTCGATTTAATAAAATTTTTAGAAATAAATAATTATTTTTATTATTATTATTATTAATTATGTATTTAAAAATGCACTCAATAGTGTTGCAAATGTCTTAATTGAAAGAATATCTGCAACTTACTTCACTTAAATTATATGAATTCTGCTTAATTTCTCTTGTGTCTAGCTCGTTCAGCTATTTATTATTTGCTGTTGGGCTTTACCTGCATTTGAGGCTTTTAGCTTAACGTATTTGCCAAATGCGGCTTCCGTTGGAAAAGCCGCAGGTTCAAATGCACTTAGCCAACACTGGTTGGCAGCCAGTCAGACAGCGAGGCAAAGTGGGAAGCAGACAGATTGAAGCGATTATGACTATACAAATTTGCTTGTTGCCGCAATTGTAATGTTTATTAATTTGGATTTTGAGCCAGTGCCAAGTTTTGGCTAGCATAAAGAGAGAGAGAGAGAGCGAGAGAGAGAGAGATTGACAGAGAGTGGGGGCATGTTTGGCAAAAAGTACGGCACAAACTAATTGAAATTGATATAAATGGGCCAGGCAAAAACAAGAGCAGCAAAGCCTCTGATAGACATACATATATGCAACATGATGTGTGGCTGTGGCTGCAAACCATAAGCTGGCAAACACGTATCTTATATGTATGCCAGACACACATACATGCATGATAAATATACGTACATGTATGCTGACGGGTTACATATACATATATGCATTTTAAGTGATGTATGGGTAACTGCTTAAGCAGAAAACTGCTATCAATATTTCTTTGAGAGTAAAATCGACTAAATTAGTTGCAGATTAGAGTGCTTAACAGTTATCTAAATGTATTTGAATAGTCTAACATGCTAAATGTGAATCTCTAATGTGAATGGTCTAATATACTACAAATGAATTTTATATGGATCCATTGATTTATTGAAATAAATAAGTTATAATAATAATGAAAATTATATTTATAAAAAATCCTATATATGTACATAAATTCATAATGTATATATTGTATATAGAGTCGGCAAATTTTAAATGTATGTATATTATGTACTTTATATGTACTTTATAGAATTTCGATTTTTGTTAAAATTTCGTGTGTGCGAATTTTTATTATTCAAATATCAGTTGCTTGACTAGAGCTTTCTTAATTATTATTATTTAATTGATTGCCGGATTTAGACACATCCTATATATATTAACAGTTATTATTTTATATTTACAATTGATATACTTATTGCTCATGCATGAAAATGAATAATCCTTCTGATAATTTCTGCCATTTTGAACAGATATTTTAAGCAGATATTAAGCTTTAGCTATTCCCAATGTTTATGTCAAAAAAAAAAAGAAAACATTTTTTATTGATGATATTGCATTTATGTGATTAAATGTAAAAATTTGTTAGTCTCGACTGTGGCGATAATCTATAAAATGGTTACTAAATAGATGCTCGACAATCGTAAAAATTTTCGTGTTCCAGAGAGCCGTCTGTATATAGTTTTTTACTCGAGACATCGTTGGCCTCCAGCCAGAGCCTCAGATCATCGGGTATTTCCGGCCGATTTGCAATATCGGGGTAAGAGCTCAGCAAATCGAACACATTGAAATCGATAAACTGATGCTTGGAGAGGGCCACGGCGTGCACGAATCCAGTGCAAACGGAGATAAATTGCTGCTCAAAGTACATGGATTTCTCGTCCCACCAGATCAATTTTGTCTCGACCTTGTATGGATGTAAAATTGGTAGGTAGCGTCGATATCTCAGCATCACTGCGCTTTGTACTATTGAGCCGCCCCTCTCCCGCACAAACTTGAACACATCGGTTACCACATAATAATGAATACTCGCAAAGTTCAGCTCGCGCAGATATCGTGCGTTGTTCATGTGCCGCAGAAAGATGTCCGCATCTTGTGGCGTACAAATGCCATAGATGCTTGTCGTCTCCGTGATTGCCTGCTTGTCTTGGTTCAGGTGCACCATCAGCAGCGTGAATGCACAGCGTATAAAATAGTTGACATCCAGAATGATGTACAGGAAGAGCAGCACCATTATTGACGTCATATTGCCGATCTTCTCTGGTCTATTTTATGGCAATCTGCTAAGAGCGGCGGAACTCTGCTTGAGTGGCTAAATCATCATATTTTAAACGTACATTTGGAAACGAAATTTTGTTTTTTTTTTGGTTTTTAATAATATAAATCAAATTTATTTGTTGACTTGTCTGAACTTTGTGTGCTCTGTTGACTAAATATTTGACATAATTTTGCTATTGACAATGTGCATATACTAAGTGAAAATAGAAATACTCTTACTATTAAATTTAATTTGTAAAATTTTTAGAATCTCTTGCTAAAGATAAAATAAAAATTTTTTATAATATATTAAAGATTTTAAATTAAAATATATAATGCTTTGAGGATTCTAAATTAAAATATATATATAAAAAAAAAATTAAAAATAATAATATAATAACATTTAGATATTAAATTTTATTTGATTATATTTTTTGTATGAAATAATTATAATATATAAAAATTATAATATATAATGTATTGAAGATTCTAAATTAAAATATAGAAAATGTGATAAATAAAAAAAATAAAAATAATAAATAAATAAATAAAAATAAATCAAAAATAATAAAATTTAGATATTATATTTTATTTGATTATATTTTGTATATGAAATAATTAAAATTACTTAATACAGATAATATAAAAATATTTATAATATAAATAATAATTATAATTTCTTATAAAAATAATAATAGTTAGATTTTAAATTTTATTTCGTTATTTCATTGTTATATAATTAAACAAATTATAAATAAAGAGTGTCTACTAATAGCACATATCCCGGCTGTGCTCTAGTATACATACATATATATATTGAATAATGTATTAAATATTTTACGCATTCATGACCGCCATTCGATTTATCAACTGGAAAGCTTTTTCATTGTGCAATTATTAAAAAACTTGACTATGTATATATACAGTGAAGTCAACAAATATACACGCACACATGCATATATGCGCACACGCATTTGCTCTTTTTGTCAGACTCGCATCGAACACAGATTACGCATACGCAACGTTGGTCGACTCGTGCAGTCAGCGTATTGTCAAAAGTGGTTATATGTGAGAGAGTTGTTGTTGTTGTTGTAGTTTTTGCTGCTGCTGTTGCTGCTGTTGACTGTTGCTTAATAATATTTTGCTGCAGCAGTTGCTGGCCGCAATATATATTTTTGGTCTGTTGCGCTGTTTTTGATGCGCCGCGGCGAAAGATAATTCAATTTTCATGGCCAGCGAATGCGAAATGGATTTTTAAATTGCACTGCAATTGGACAGGCAACAGGATGCAGCCAACAACAACAACGACAGCAGCAGCAAGAACAAGGATGAGTTGGCCACGCCCACAGTTTGACTTCGAAATGACAAATTTAATATGCAGCCCTTGATGCCGGCGTTTTGTTTGTTTGTTCGCTTGCCTCAACTGCAGTTGGTAGTGGATAAAAAAAAAATAAATAAATAAAAGAAGAAAAGAACTTGGCCAAATGCCAGACTCAACGTCAGGCAGCAAACTACTAGACAACTTTAAGGCGAGTTTGGGGGGGGAGCTCAACTCCTTTTTTATATGCACACTTTATATGGCTATGCTGTGCTCCATATGTCTGTGGATCAAAAAGAGACAGAGATAGAGAGAAAGAGAGAGAGAGCGAGTGCGAAAGAGAGAGATGAGGTTATGCAGCTCGTATTAAAATATTTTTGTGCATATTTCAGCTGCCAAAATTATTACAATTTAGTTCCGCAAAATAAATTTGCCTTTGCCTGCTTATTTTCTTCTATATTACATACATATATTTTGCCATATATATATTTATTTTTATTTTTTTCTCACATTTCTCACTTGTGCACCAAATTGTTCTGTTGCCTTGGAATGAACATTGAGTGCCAAAAAATAAAATAAATATCTACTCGTTATGTGTTATTTAGTTTGAAGTTATTTCTAGTGAAATTTTTTGCATCACAGCGAGTTTTGATTGGCATTAAATTTGGCCACTAGAGAATTGACTTATTTCGTTCACTTTAATTGTTGATATTGGTAGAATGATTGCTGGCCTAGTTGATAAGTTTATTCAATTTTTAGAATTTATGGTCAGTTAATTACTGACATACAGTTAGATGAATAGAAAAGGCAGAGCGATAAGGAGAGTGAAGGAGAAAGAGCGAGAAAAGACAGAGTAAAGGAAAAAGACTTGGAGGGTGAGAAAGAGGCAAAGGGAAATATAATTAGAAAGAGATAATGATAAAAAGAGAGGAAAGTTTAATGAGGGAGGGAGAGAGAGACAGACATAAGTCTATGAGGGGAAGTTGAGGTAGAGACACTCGATGTCTGCAAATAATTCTATATTAATTATACTATCAGGTAATCCCAAGGAGCATTAAGCAATAACTCTATTATGTATGTATTGGCGTGCATTAATTGTTAAACGAGGTCACATGAATATGTAAATTCGAGGCGCTCAACAGAAAACGAAAACGAAAAGAACCGAAGGCTCTTGCTCAGAGCGAGTACGATTGAATATTATTTTCTTCGGTTGGTTTCACGAGCCGAGAGAGCAGAGAACAGAGAAAACCTACATATACTGAAAGATACGCAGAATCATGATAGAGATAGACCAGCATGATAGAGGCAGATAGAGCAAGGCATACTGTAGATAGAGAAAGAAGAGTGAGTGTAAGAAGTGAAATAATTGCTTCGATCTTACAGGGATCTCTCGAAATTTTGAACTAATAGAGATTTTCTGATATGCATATTCTAATAATATTCTATTCTTAACATTTACTCAACGCCATTACTAATAGCGGGCATCATTTAATTTGCCACTAGTTATCTTTTCATTGTGCTATATCAAATATTATCTAAAATTTATATTTTCATTAATATCCCCGTTTTATAACTGCTAGCTTTAGAGTTTACTACAATTGGTCTATTTGCACTTTCAATGAATTATTCAATATGTGAAGTGTGCCCCTCTTTTGCAGTCATCCTGTTTGGGCTTGCATTATGTAACGTGTTGCTTTTACCCCTAATTGCAATGCTGGCAAATGTGCCCTCGGCTAAGACAGCACGAAACATATACGTATGTACGTATATAGAATCTTTTTATACCCTGAACCCATTGAAAATGGGAAATCAGGGTATAATGGTTTTGTGAAAAAGTATGTAACGGGCAGAAGGAGGCGTGGCAGACCCCACAAAGTATATATATTCTTGATCAGCGCGATGAGCTGAGTCGATATAGCCCTGTCCGTCTGTCCGTCCGTCCGTCCGTCCGTCCGTCCGTCCGTCCGTCCGTCCGTCCGTCCGTCCGTATGAGTGCGTCGATCTCAGAAGTTATAAGAGCAAGAGAGCTGAAATTTGGCATGCATACTCGTGTGTACCATACGCAGTACGAGTTTGCTTTATTTTTTCGATAAATCGTCCGATAACTTTTTTATCGAGAATAATCGAAAAATTGATTTTGTTTTTTTAGCCTAATTTGAACACTTTCAGACCTGGAGTCTTCAAATTTGCGTTGTATATAAAGACAATTGATACAAAGATTTTGTCATTTACAGATTTTGGATACCACGCCCCCTTTTCCCCCAATTTGTAAAAAACGCATTTCAAGTACTACAGACTTGTGCTTTAGAATGTACACACATATTCACCATATGATTACGTTCTAAAAGTTTCATTAAGATCGTATGTCTACAAAAGAAATTATTCAACAAAGAAATTCTCATAATATTGCTCACACTGCAGCGCAGCCCAAGCGCAGTCGCTGCTTACTGCGCAGTTAGCAGAGCACGGGCTTATGCGTGCGTGTGGATGCATGTGCATAAAAGAAGTGCAGAATGATTATAATATCAGCTTAGAGGGTTCAGGGTATCTCCTAGTCGAGCAGTCTCGACTGGAGCCTTCTTACTTGTTTCTCTTACTGGATCTTGTGCTGTGCTTTGGATTTTCAATTTTAATAGAATTTTGCCTTATTTACTGCAACAATGGCTAAAAAAAAAAAAGAAAAATAAAGACTGGCAGCAACAGCGTAACATACGACTTTAATTGTGTTTTGGTCATAGTTTGAGATAAACGGGGTGGATTCACTTGTAGAGCTGGGTTTGAGTGTGGGCAAAAGAGGGAAAGCGAGTTAAATAAATGAAAATAGTTTACTCTTATTTTATGAAAATTATAAATACATAATAATAATATGAATATATAATATAATATATAATAAATATTTTTGCAGACAATTTTTTTAAATATATATATTCTTTTCTATTGTAGATCAAAACTGATTTTACTCTACGAATTTTTGTTTTCTCCCCAAAAAATAAAATATATGTATATAGTCAAGAATGTTTTTTGCCAGTTTATTTAATTTAATTTCATAATCCAACAATCTTTTATGAACATGATAATTGAATAACTTTCAATTATATAATATAATTTATTATATTAATTTTTATTATATTCTTGACTATATACATTTTACTTTTCAGTCTTTACTTTTCTGCTATTCACCTTATTCTATTTCTTTTTAATTTACTGGGTATTTAATATTCGAGTAGCTTAGAAAAATTAGTATTTATTAGTATTTGATACAATGCTCTTCATATATATATATTTTTGGGTTGCTTATAATTTCAATATATATGAAATTATTATATTATATTACAGTTTCTAGTTAGTTCGACGATTTCCTCTTTCGTTACTGGGCATCTGTTAGTCAAATGTCTCACCGAAAAGCCGTTATTTCAAGTTTCATTTTCTATTTCGGGGCTTTCAATGCATCTTTGACGTCTTACAGCAACAAAAAAATGTGTAAAGTTTTCATTACAGGAAACACTGGACTGCGTTTAGTTTGTGCTTCCTTTTGCCAGCGAGCCTCACATGTGTGTGTATTACACATATGTATATATGTGTGTTAGTGATTGTAACTGTGACTGCGTGTGTGTGTGTGCGTTTGTGCTTATTTATTTGGTGTGCAGCAAAAATTCGGCATTGTGAACAAG